AGCAGGGGGGTAGAAAAGACTGTGGAATGAGATGGACGTCATTACCCTAAGTACACGTATGAAGACATGAATGGTGTGACTATACTTTGTATACAACCAGAGATATGAAAAATTGTGCTCTATGTGTAATATGAATTGTAATGCATTCTGCTGTCACATATAACAAATCAGAATAAAAAATAAACAAAATTTTTCTAAAAAGAAATGTTTCCAGATGTCTCATTGTTAACCCTTTTATATTTCCTATTTTTGCATTTCATAATATATTTGGGCTATGCTTATATAATTCACATATGCATGAAACTTATGATGAAAGATCAAATGTTTCAATGATGTCAGTTTAAAAGACCCCTTATGTACATGCGAATCTAAGTACACTCAAGCCTTTTTTACTTGAGCCATGTTGAAAAGATGTCAAGACCTTAAACAGTCTCAATAGCACCATGGAGCTACTAGCGAAAAGGTCAGGACTTCAGCAATAGAATTCCCAAATGCAATCTGTCTGCACAGAACCTAAAAAAAAAAAAAAAAAACATGATTTGACAGAGAAATGGCATTAAGCAAAAGACCCAAACAAATCCTATATAGTGCGCTGGCGTCAGGTGGCCAGGCAGGGAGGGTCAGCACCAGAAAGCACACCTGGGCTAAGGTTCAGCTCAGTGGGAGAGCTCCTGGGCCCAAGCTCAGGGCTAGGGGTGGAGGACTTCAAAGACAAGGCAGAAAGGGACACAGCCAGAGGCAGGGCAGCAGGGGAGGAGCTCTCAGGGTTCTGTTGGGTGTGCACCGTGCAGCCTACTGCACCAGACAGAATGTCACAGAGCAAACAGCATATAGGGACATCCTTGGGCAGGGAAGGAGTGGCATGCCAAGCCCTGGAGTGGCTGGAATAGAGGAGTAGTGGGTGGCAGCAAGGCCAGGCCATACCAGGCCTTCATGGCCCACGATGCAATTCAGAGCACTGGAAAATACACGATCCCTGCCCAGAAAAACAGAGCAAGGACCACACCAGTTCCAGGGTTCTGGGAGCACCTGGCAGAGGGAGGACATGGAATAAGTCACCTGGCTGGGGGCTGCTGAGGCTCCACAGCAGGTGCAGAGCCAAGGTGACAGGGCCCATGGCACATTCTGAAGCACTCAGAGCAGATGCTGACTCACTGGCAAGCTGGCCAGAGTCGACAGCTCAGAGGGACTGCAACTCCCTGTGTGCCCTCCAGCTCAGAATGACAGACCATCTTCCCTACAGACACCTGAAGGGGAGTGAGTGGCCATGCTCAGGCAAGAGCTCACAACAGGCACATAGGAAAAACCTCCATGGCAGTGTAGCTCTATCACCAAGTCAAGGAAGCCTCCTGGCCACTGCAAAGGAAGAGAGAAACTTACGTTTTGTTTTGGGACGAGAGATTGAACCCAGAGGTACTTAGCCACTCAGCCACATCCCCAGCCCTTTTTATTTTGAGACATGGTCTTGCTAAATTGCTTAGGGCCTCACTCAATTATTGAGGCTGGCTTTGAACTTACAATTCTCCTGCCTCAGCCTCCAGAGTTGCTGGGGTCACAGGCGTGCAGCAAAAAGAAGTTCTTAAGGGAAAAAGTGGCCTGACAGGACAAACAGTTTAAGCAGTTCACAACCAGGAAACTCTTGGGACTGACACTTCCTCCAGTCACATTCACTCGTGATTTCCCCTCAATGGTCCCCAAACACCTGGACAGCATTCCAGAGTTTTTACATCTCCTAAACTCTGGTGGAGGCGGCAGCAACTAACAAGGCCAGAGCAAGACCAAGTGTGGCCCCTGGGGCAGCAGGAGAGAGAAAGGGAATGGCAGTGGAGGAAAGGGGTGGGGAAGGGGGGGGGAGCCAGCAAGGGTCAGCAAGGGTCAGCAAGGGCAGTCCAACAGATCTGGCTGCAGGGAAACAGCCTGGGCCACACGTGGGGACCACCGGAATCCGCAGGGCACTGCAGTCCCTGACCAGTACTCTGGGTAGCAGGGAGGTACCCACTGTTTCCAGAAAGGAGACCAGCCAAGGAAGACCTGGAGGCCAACCAGAAGGCTGCTATTAGCTGGTAAGGGAGAGTGACAGAGGACCAGGAGGATTCGACCTGATCACAGCTGGACAAACAGGCAGACATTTACATGGTTTGCTTTTCCCCTTCCAGTGTTCTTGCCACCTCCAGGCCCGTCCTTTAGGAGGAAAGATTAATAATTTTTTTTGATGGAGAGAGAATACAGTACTAGGGACTGTACCCACAGCCTTGCACAACTAGGCAAGCACTCTGCACACACTAGACAAGCACCACTGAGCTACATCCCAGCCCCTTTTATTTATTTATTAATTTATTTATTAAGGCACTAAGGATTGAATCTAGGGGTGCTCTACCACTGAGCTACATTCCCAGCCCTTTTTTATCTTATTATTTTGAGACAGGGTCTCACTAAGTTGCTGAAGGTCTCACTAAGTTGTGCAAGCCAGCCTTGAACTTGAAAATCCTTCTGCCTTAGCCCCTCAAGTTGCTGGAATCACAGGCATGTGCCACCATGCCAGGCATGTTTTTAACAAAAGGTCACAATTACTTTCTCAACCCACCACAATTATACATGACTGTTTAAACAATGACTGGCCATATCAGCCTACCAAAGTTTACTCTGAAGTTCTAATTCATCTTCATCTACAAAACAAACGGGAAAAAATGTGATACATGAACCTACAACCACCATTCTTGCCTTCTATGACCAAAATAATTTACTGAGATAAAATACTTGTACTCTGGGCAGCCACAACATTGAGACAAATGAGAGCCACACAGGAAAACACTTCCTCTCCCTCAAGAGAACTGTTTTTTTCGTATTAAGGAGGGGTTGAAGTGGGAGAAACACTCAAGATCTACAATGGCAGGCTACAGGGTACAAAGCAATCTGCATTTCCATTTCCAACCCAAATTAAATACCTGTGAAACCCAGCATTCATTAGTAGCTAATTCCAAGTAGCCACTCTTCAAGTTGACATCCAGATGCCTCCTCCCATCAGTCAAATCTTAAACCCAGCACTTCAGGGACAGGGCACACAAGTTTAGTCCCAGCTCTGTCACTGCCTGATTTCAAGGTTACTAACTCAGGCCTGGTTTTCCTCGCCTATCAGTGATGATGGTGCTCCCACAAGGCCCTGGATCTGATCACAGGCACAAAAAAAAAAAAGGTGATGAGACCAACTGTTGGACTCAGTTCTTTCTAGCTCTAAAATTGTGCTTTTCTGATGATGTGCTTTTCTTCCAAATTCCTTTAATCAGTTCACAGAGTATATAAGCTGCCTGTTTCCCACTCCTACTGCACCACCAGGCTCACCTTTGAGACTTCCAAAGGAGATGCAGCTTGCCAACACTGTCTGTCCAAAAGGAATAATAAAACCAAAATACAATTACAGCAAACTACAATATGGGACAAATCCAATTCACACTTGGATTTTTTTTAATAACAAGAAAAGCATAAAATCTTAAAAAGATGACCAACTATCATGGCCCAAATACACCAGATGCTTTGAGAACAGCAGGGAAATGGGGTCCTTGTGGAGTCCTTCACTCTCCTCCTGGTGCGCTCAGGGGCAGTCAGCCACTCCTGTGATAGCTCGCAGGCTCCCGCTCCTCACAGACTGCCAACTGGAGCAGGCGGCAGTGACTCAAGGGTGAGGATGGAGCTGTTTCACCTTTTAGGGCCTCAGATTTCACCTGTGGTTCTGCGTTTCTAGAGACTCACCAAGGTCACTGTCAGGGCTCCACTCATCTACAAGTTCAACCTCTTCTCCCCAGGACTTCAGGTTAATATGAAGACCCCAAAGATATCCCAGGCATCACAAGAAGCACTGGGAACAGTCACAAACAAAAAGGGCGGCGCAGGGCAGAAACAGGCGTCCCGGTGAACAACAGGTAAAGCTTCCAGTAGAGACTGGCATCGGGCTTTGCTTTGAGTTACTAGAAGTACTAGTACAAACACACGTGAACACTTACAAATCAAAGGAGCATTGGAGCAGAAGGCAGGCAGCACAAACTTCGGAGACCCGCACCCGGCCAATTCCTAGCCCTGGGCGCTAGGGACCCGACGAACTCCCCCGGTAGGAAGTTCCCAGCGCCCGCGCCGCTGCCCCTGCGCCCCAGTCCAGACCCGGAGCCAAACGCCAGCCAAAATGGAGGAGGAGCCGCCCGGAGCGGGCCTCGTGGCGCGCGCTCACGGCGCCAGCCGCCTTCCTGCTGCCCGCCTCGCCCGCGCAGGCTGCCCTCGCCCAGCCCGGGCTCGATACGTGGCAGGCTGCTGCCCGGCGGGAAGCCAGAAGCCACCCCGCAAAGACAGTAAGAGAGCAAAGAAAGACCCACTGGAGAGCTCCACCCTCTCCACCCGCAGGAACGTCCGGAGTAAGGCTGGGACGCCTCTCCTCGCCTAGCTACAAAACAAAGACAGCAGGCTCCAGGGAGGCAGACCAGTGACCCCTTTCCCCGATTCCAGGACGCGCACGCCCGCGCGAGCTGGGAGCCAGGAGAACTTTCCCTCGGAAGCCGACCGCTTCCGCCCTCTTTCGCCCCCAGTCGCGGCTGCAGGGCCGCTCCCGCACTCCTCCGGGGCTCGGCTGCACCGGGAGCCCTGCCGTACCGGTGGGCGCCCCACGCGGACACCGCGCGCCGCCGCGCCGCCTCGCAGCCCTGGGGCCCGAGCCCCACTCACTCCGCCCGGACGCGTTGGGCTGGCGGGGTCGCTTCTGGGAGCCCTGCCCGCAACACGGACCAGCCAGACAATAAGCCTCCGCTCCCTTTCCCCTCCCCCGGTAGACCCCGGCCACGAGGCACTGCCGCGGGAGGAGGGCGTGCGCCTGGCGCCAGCCCGCGGTGCTGGCCGGGTGCCCTTGCTCCCGGAGGGCCGAGCCTGTGCGGGGCCGCGGAGCCCAGCGCGGCCGGGAGCGCAGGGCGGGCCACGAGGTGGCCACGGAGGCGGACGTGTGTGCGGCCCGCGCGCGGTACCTTGCCGCTGGCCGTGCCGCCGCTGACTCCGATCAGGAAGGGCTCGCCGCCGCTGGGCTGCTGGTGGCTCTGCAGGGTCTGCTCACTGTCCCCGGCCATGGCTCGAGCCGAGGAGCCGCCACTCGCCTGGAGCGCGGTGGGCTGCTTCCAGGAGCTGCCGCGCGCCTCCCTCTGCCCGCAGCGGCGGCGGCGGCGGCGTCTACATCCCGGGCCCGGGTCAGCGTGATGCCGCTGCTCCAATCGGGCGGGCGGCGCGCTGCGATTCGCCCGGGCCAAGGCTGCGAGGCGGAGGCCCAGCGCGCGCCCCGCCCGCCGCCCGAGGCCGAGGTGTGAGCCCAGCGCTCCGGGGCACAGAGCCGGGTCCCCGGCGCCCTCCCGTGGACCCGCGGGAAAGGAGGGCTGTGCCGGGTGCCGTGTAGGTGCCGGCCACCTCTTTAAAAGGGTAAAAAGCGAGGAGGGACCTAAAGGCAGATCAAGTAAGGGAGGGAATGCCCGGGACTGAGACGCAACATCAGAACCAGTCGGGAAGATGACGTTGAAACAGTTAATGCCATTTGCCCATCATCCGCTAAGATATTTTGTTTAAAGAAAACTGGATTCCCCTCTCCCATTTGCCCGAAATAGTGTGCCAGCCGCAGCTCTAGACATCTCCTGTCCTCCCGCACTCCCAGAGCGGCCTGATTTGAGAGGCTTGTCTGGAGAGTACCCTTCCTGGGACCTCAGCCCCCAGTAGTGAGGTTCCCTAGTTAGGTTCCTGAGGACACTAAAAGGGCAGTGCCGCCTTGGGTACTTAAGCCCACTGAACTTGAAGATGACGGCCGGCCCAGCTAGTGACTAAGAGCAGCCCCGGCCTCAGGAACCAGCTTTCTGGGTTCACACCCAGGTCCAGGGCCAGTCATTCTCCTGCTGTGCCTCAGCGTTCTCATGCGTCCAGTGGACATAATGTGGATCCCATTCTGGGATGTTTGTGAGGTTTTAAATGAATAATCATATGTGAAGTTCTTAGAAAGAACTACGCTTGAAGAAAAAAGGCTCCTGAGGGGCTGGGGAGGGAAGTTTTGAGTTACTAGAAGTACTAGTACAAACACACCTGCACACACCTGGGAACCATAGGGCTTCATGAGGAACCTCCAGTCTCTGCCTCTCTGAATGTAGGACTAAGTCACTAGTGGGTGTTTTGTTTTGTTTTGATACTGGATATTGAACCCAGGGCTTTACAACCGTGCTACCTCCCCAGTCCTTTTTATTTTTAATTTTGAGACAAGCGCTTGCTAAATTGCTCAGGCTGGCCTCAAACTTGTAATCCTGCCGCCTCAGCCTTAAGAGTCTTTGGGATTACAGGTGTGCATCGCCATGCCTGGCAATTTGTTCTCTTTCAAAATATAGTAAATAGGCTTAAATTGAAAATTATTTTGAAAAATAATTATTAAACAAGATTAATAGTAGCCAAGAACATGGAATTCTTTTCACTTTTGAGATACTTTATGTAACCATCAGTACCAAACACAGAAGCAGTTCAGACAGGATGGGGAGATCGGCTGTTGGGTACCCAGAGACAGACACTTGAGAGAGATTTACTGGAGGTCATCTTACCAAATAGCTATGGAGTGGATTAGATCTGACTGGCCATGAAGTCTGCCTCTTCTGCAGAAAAGAGACTTAACAGTCTTCAAGGACTTTTGCAGAACACTTTATAACCCAACATGAGGCCATTAGAATTCTTAATTTTAGAACTCAGGGCTAAAGGTCAGCATGGGGACACTGGGGTGCAGAGTGGAGGAAGAAGAGGACAGGAGGGTGCCATGTCCTCCATGGACTGCCTTCCCTGTCATTTCTGTAGCTTTTTTCCCATAATATTTCATCATACAATTTTCAAACATACTTGAGAGATTTTGTCATAAACACTGAAATTCCCTGCCACGGAGTCTCTAAATAGCATGGTACTAGACCTGCTGTGTCACGTAACTGCTGATCTGCCCACCTTCCATGCATTGAGATGGTACTGTAGTATTTCCTTCCCTTTGTTTCGTTTGGCTTACTCCAACTGGCTTAAACATTCCCTGTCTTTTGTTGTTGCCACCATGTCCCCAATACCTAGAACAGTTTCTGCCATCTAATAGGGTCTCAATAAATATTTGCTGAATGAGTCAAGAGACACCATATCTCATTTCCACATGCTAAGGCCAAGTGAGAAGCAGTCAGGGTGAGACTGGTGAATGAATGAATGAATCAACAAATACATAGGAGGGAAGAATGCACCAAGAAGCAAACATCCTCCCATCATTTTGAAAGCAAAGGTGGCGGTCCCTTGACTGCAATCGTGTGGTTACAAACTCTCATTTCCGAATATTTTGTTTTTCTGACTGCTAAGGTTTGGATGTGGTTCATCCCCACCAAAGCTCACCTTGAAATTTAATTGCCAGTGTGAGTGTCCCAAGATCTTGGGATCTTAGGAAGGAAGTGCTTAGGTCATGGGGCTCTACCTTCAAAAGGGATAGACGCAGCTCCTACAGGGTGGGCCAGTTATGGGGCTGTGGGGAGAGGATTCAGCCTTCCTATGCTCTCTGACACAGGTGTTGCTCTTCCACCTACACCTGCTCTCAATCTCAGCACACTCCCACCACGTGGTGCCATGCCTCCACCACATCTGTGGCAGCCTGGGGTGAAGCCCTGCCAGAAGCCCAGCAGGTGCAAGGGCATGCTCTGGGACGCTGTCACTGCGGTGCTTTGGCATTCCACAGTAACTGTCTACAACGAGTTCTAGTGTGCCTCTTACCTAGTGGAGCTTACTGATAACTGAGCTAACTCACCGTGCTTCTCCGAACCTATAATAACATGAGTTAATACCACAAAAGTGATCTAAAAGCGATCAGAAGCTTTCTGCATGAAGGTAAGATCTACTCAGCAGAGGACAGTCAGTGCAGTGTGCTCCCTTTCCCTTCTTTCCCTTCTCTGCCCCATCCCTAGGGTGGCTTGCGCACATAGAGAAGTTACTGTCAGTTTAAATTGTTAAGAGCACTCTCATCACAGTGACCTCAACAAGGACTTCTGCATCTCTGCTCTCTACAAAGCAAGGCAAGCTGCCCACACTGTTCCCGTGCTGTGTCATCTTCTCTCGGGAGCCTGGTCACCAAACCCTATTGCTGGAGATGCTCCAGTCACATGGAGCCTCCTGTAGCAATCACACTGCAGGTTCTCAAGTGGCTTCATGCTGTGCTCCTTCCCCTCCCACCAAGAAAAGGATAGTTTTAATAAAATCCAGAGCTGCAACACATTCAGAGAACTACATCCTTTTGGTACCTGTGACTTTTCTTTATATGCTGATTCTGTCCTGATCCAGTCAGGCCTAGTAACACTGGAGCTGGGTCGGCATGAGAGTGCAACTCAGCTGCAGCCAAGGACAGTAAACCAGGCACTGCGGGCTGACTCGGTGTACCCCTCCTCCCTCACAGCCCTGCCTCCAGCGAGCTGACCAGTTCCCTATTGGCTTCTCTTCGCAGACTTCATCGCTCACTTCCCGGTACTGCCCCTCTAGCTTCTTTCTGCCTTCCATCAATCAGCAGTTGCTTTGACAGGCCATCAGTACTCTCCTTAAAAAGATGACCATATGATACCAGAGCTACTTGAACACCCAGCTCTGCGACCTACATCAATCAGGTTCTCAGATGCTGTTAGGCAGCACAATCATAGCGCAGGGTCAGAGAGGCAGAAACCGCGGCTGCGCTGGAAACCGCACATGCTTGGGCTCCACCCCGGAAGTAGTGAGTCAGGACACCTGGGGGTGGGGCAGAGCGCTCCAGTCGGGCCCATCGAAGTTTGAGAACCACTGAAGGGGTGCAAAGAAGGACAGCTGCATTCTCAATGCCAAGATTCAGGTCCTTGCTTTGTTACTACTTTGTAGCCCTTGATAAGTTAATTTCCATAAAGCTTCTCTTCAACTGTTAAATGATGCCTGGCTGGTAGGAAGTTTGGGGAAATGTGACTGTCCCTCCATGCAGCCTGTCAGCAGCAGGTGCCTCTCCATTATCACACAAGTCCCACTGAGGGGTCAAAGTAAGACGACCTAAAAGGCATTTTCTAATAAAAATTGAAAGGAAATGTCCTGTAGGGCAAGGTGGTGCTTGCTGTAGTCCCAGGTACTAACATGAGGATTCCTTTAGTCCAGGAGGTAAAGACCAGCCCCATCTCCTGTCACACACACACACACACACACACACCACATCTGCATGTTTTTAAAAAGATAATGTTCAACCACAGTAAATGTTTGAGAGAATGTTTAACCTGACTTAAATATTTTTTAAATATTTATTTTTTGGTTGTAGTTGGACACAATACCTTTATTTTGTTTATTTTTATGTGGTGTTGAGGATCAAACCCAGGGCCTCCCACATGCTAGGCTAGCCCCAGCCCCTGCCCCACCTGATTTAAATATTATGCAATACACACATGCAAACCTCACTAGTATACAACTTCAAAGCTTTGATATATCAGCTTAAAAAGCAAAAAAAAAAAAAAAAAAAAAAGAGCAGGTCACAGCGGCACTCACCTATAATCCCAACAACTAGGGAGACTGAGGAAGGATCGCAAATTCAGAGCCAGCCTCGGCAATTTAGACAGTGTCTCAAAATTAAAAAACGAAAAGCTCTTGGAAATGAAGTGCTTGTTAACGAAAAGCAGTGGTGGAGCACTTATCTGGCACCTGGGAGAGACTGAGTTCAATCCTCAGCACCACATAAAAATAAATAAATAAAGAAAGTATTGTGTCCAACTCCAACTAAAAAAATAATAATAAAATTTTAAAAAGGGGTGGGGTGGGGATGTAGTTCAGTGGTGAAGCACCCCGGGATTCAGTCCCCAGTGCTGAAAAAAACAGAAAACAGAAACTGGGCATGATGGCACATGCCTATAATCCCAGCTACCCAAGAGGCTGAGGCAGTGTCACCTGCAGTCTGGCCCAGGGGTCCTGCCTGGATCCTGGATGGCTTGCCTGTGTCAGAAATAAGAACAAGTTGGAAAAAGGAAAAATGAACTTTATGCAGTTTGACCAAACTGGGAGAATTCAGTTTGCTTCTCCCCACTGGCCCCACAGAAGCAAGTGTCACACATAGGTAGATTCAGTTGCCCTGTTAAGACAGGGCAGGGGCTATCTCTGCTCACTTCCTGGGCACCTGGCCATGGGGCCTTAGCCCTTCAGT